TTTGTGTGACTGTAGAAGGCTGGTTTTAGGCATGGCTGAGCCAGGAATCAGTTTCTGTTTTCTGTGATGGAGTCACTCTTAGGCAGGCCTTCTCTACTTGGTAGCGTTACATTGTATTGTGAAAAGATAACTTCTCTTTTATACTAGTTTCAGCAAAAGTTCCAAGGCTGATGCTTATTGAGCTGATTGATCAGGTGTGTATCACATATGTCCATCCCTGAACCAATCACTGCAATCGGGATAAAACACACTGATTAATCTTCTCCTAGATTTGGCATTGAAGTTCCTTTCACCCATACTTCATGGACAGAGTGGACAAGGGGTGGTTCCACAAATGGAAACTAAGATGGGGAAATATACACTGGGCAGGTGGAACCAGCCAATATCCACTAGAGGGACTCTGTACTGACTGTCACCATGAAAGAGGGAGGTGACAACATGCCACTTGGTATGGAGGTGGTACTGACCATGCATTTGCCTCTTGCAAAAGGATGGAGAGAAAAGTCACCCAAATGTCAGGTCCCAAACTCAGGGAAGGAGGAGGCCAGGGGAAGTCACCAGCCCACATTCCCTAAACATCCACCCATATGCCATCTTGGGTGCATGTCCCTGGGACATTTCCCTGGGAATATAAATCTCCAGATAATGGTTGGTGCCATATGACAATCCAGATAATTTATTCCCCATCCTGGAATCTGCTGCTTGTCAGGGCTTTAAGGCACCAGTTCATCTTCATCAGTGGTAGACATCTGTAAGTTTGAGTCATAGCACTTTCTAGGGCAGGTAACTACCCAGAGCAAGGACATCATTAGAAACCATTACAGAACAACATTTTGCATTAACTGCTGCATATGATGCTCACTGTTTCTTTGCTGATATTACCAAATGAAGGCTGTTTCTTATTCATTTTTACTGTCATTATCATGGTAACAAGGATCATCTAATTCATTTACATTACCCCTATTGCTGTAGAACCTAGATGATGTTCCTCAGGCTGGTCCTGATTACCAGACTGCTCTGTATGGCCAGGCTAGAGGGACTATAGCAGTTCAAATGTAAGTGTTTCCTCAGAACCCCCATCCAAGCTCATATCACACAATAATGCAATGTTTTGTTCCCTTTCTATGTCTACTAAATTGCAAGTTCTTTAAGAACAGGAAGCATCTAATTCCCAATATACCCTGTATTCTGCATATTATAACCACTCAATACATGTTTGTAGAGTAAGTACTATTCTTAGTGATTGCAAAACAAAGAGGAATAAAACATAGTTCCTAACTGAGAAGCTCAAAGTCTATCAATTACAGAAACAACAATACTAATGACGACATCAGCTAATGTTCATTGAGTGCTATGTGCTAGATACTGAACCACATACCTCGCATGCATTATCTTGTGTAATGATCTTGACAGTACATTACTTGACAGTAATATACTATTATTACTCCCATTTCACAGATGAGGAAGCTGAAGTTTACGGACAAAGCTAAAGTTGGATCATTTGAAAATGGCAGAGTCAAGGTTTTGGGGGAGTTTTTGTTTTGAGACAGGGTCTTGCTGTGTCACCCAGGCTGGAGTCCAGTGACACAATCTCAGTTCACTGCAACCTCCACATTCAAGGTTCAAGCAATTCTCCTGCCTCAGCCTCTCAAGTAGCTGGGACTACAGGTGTGTGCCACCATGCCTGACTAATTTTTGTATTTTTAATAGAGACAGGGTTTTGCCATGTTGACAAGGCTGGTCTCGAACTCCTGACCTCAGGTGATCCCCCATCTCGACCTCCCAAAGCTCTGAGATTACAGGCATGAGCCACTGCACCCCACCAGAGTTGGGGTTTGAACTCTGGTCTGCCTGATTATAATACATGTTCCTAACCACTAAATTAATACTACCTCTGTTAAAGTAGGATGAGTAAAAGGTGGGGGAAGTTGGAATAAATTAATACTCAAAAAGATTGGAAGGAGGCTCCCGGCGCCAAACAAATCAAATCCAAGATTTGTTGACATCAAATCAAATCTTCAATAAAGATATTAAGTTTCTCAGGAAGGTACCTAATGTTAAAAAAAAAAAAAAAGATATTAAGCTGGTCTAATATTTTAATTAGTGAGGGTCTTTGAGGAACCAAGCAGAGGAACTCAGTAAAGACCTGGAAATATGTTGATGGCACTTTCTTAAAGCCCATGGAAATGCATGTGGACCACTTGAAACAAGCAAGCACCTACTGTTCCTTGTTTCCTCTCTCAGCTGGGCAGAGGGGCCCAGTGGAGGAAGTGTCTTCATGGCCTTCTTTCAATATAGGATCAAAAAGAACAAAAGAAATGAGCTCTGCCTCTCATGAGTTTATTTTACCTTCTCTCAGAATGGAGTCAAGAAATGGACATCAGGGACCACATTTGTAAAAAATCGTGTAAGTTCTCTAACTTAACCCCAAGCAGTTATTTCTGCTCTTTGTTGGCGTCTACATAGAGATCTCGGCAGGAACCAGAGGAAAGGGCAGAACAGAGGAGTGACCAGACTACCAGACTGTTAGGCTGGGAGGAAGTGGGTAAAGTAGGTGCGAGAAGCTTCTCAGAGGAGAGAAAAACAAAGCAATGATTCCATGAGGCCTGTGGCCAAGTGGGTAGCAGAAACGCTGAAGTCTGGTTGAGTGTAAGAAGATTCCTTGCCAAGCTGAGGGCAGGATTTCTGGAAAGAACCTAAGAAAGGAGCTAATGACCCCTCAGAGCTAGGACTATGCATCACAAGTAGGCCTGCGGAGGTGTGGGAAATGTCTGTTAGTGTCCAACAACAAGACTGTGTCCCCATGATCTCCTGTATTTATGCAACATTTGTCCTGTACAGGTGCACGTGGATGTGCTGTGTGTATGCACTGAGCCAGGTGATGGGAAATCTTGAGGAGCAACTTTCCACCAGGAATCTTGTGTGGAATACAGACAAGTAAACTGGCAATGGTGATACAGTGTGAGAGACCCCCAAAAGGGCAGGCAGAGGGTGCTCTGGGATTGTAAGGAAGATACCTACCCAAGTCCTTGCTGGATGGGGCAACAAGGGGGCTGGGTGGGCTTTGGAAAGCCAGGTGAGCACTAAAGAATGAGCAGGATTCACCCAGGTGAAGCATGGGAATGGGAGCAAGGTAGCAGAGGGGTCTTTTAGAAGCCCAGAAGCAGCATGGCTCAAAATCAGGAAGTAAGAAAGCGCATGGCATTTCTAGGAACTGCAGGAAGCTCAGTCCAGTTTGTGCTCAGAAGGAGAGGTGGGGGGTGGCAAGACATCGCCCAGGGCCAGGCACTCTCAGAGTCTGACTTCATGCCGAAGCCAGGGGGCCTTCGTTGCTGAGTTTTCCTTCTGAGGGTGGAAATGATCAGGACCTCTTACAGGGCTGTCTTGGGTGTTTAGTGCCACAATTGCTATAATAAAACAAGATTCTTGCTCTTCAAAAATGCCTGATTCTGCATCCAATCATCTTGGCAGGCAGAACCAAAGGAAGCACTTTGGTCCTCTTTTCTTGGCCATAAAAACCAGGTCTTGGTGTCCTAATGTTATTAAAATCCTCATAGGCTGAGAAGATGCATTTTGGGCCTCAGAGCATGTCAAAAATTACGTAATTTTTCCAGCCTAATTCTAGCTCAGTGGGCTCAACTTTCATGGCAACTGAGAATTACCTAGAAAGTTTTAAAAAGAAATGCTGATGCCTGGGGCACCCTCAGGGATTCTGATTCAATTGTCTGGAGCCAAGCTGGGCATTGGTATTTTTTAGAGCTCCCCAGGTGATCCCCAGGGCAGCCAGGGTTGAGAATCGCTGCAGAATGTGCAGCCTAGCAACGGAAACTCTTGAGAAAGGAACGGACGCCTCTTGCCAGGTACTCCAGCCGAGTAGATTCTGGGTCAACTTTTCAAATCTTCCTGGCAGATCATCAAAAGCAGCCTGTGGCAACTGCTGAGACCTCTTGGTGCTCCTCCCACTCCCCCCCACCCCCTTTTACAGGTAGATGCAAAGAGCCCTGTTCTAAAGCTATTATAGGAGGCTGGAGAGGAGGGCTACCTCACTCATGCCTGGCACCTCACGGCATCATCTGGCTCCCTGAGCCACATTGTGCAGCACTAAGAAGCTTTGTCAGGGATTTTTTTTTTTCTTGCATTTACCCGGAAATTCCAAGCAGGCCTCATTAGCACATTACTCACACTCAGCCAATCCCACATATCACCTTCCTCCTCACCCCCACCTCCAGGCTTTTTTCTCCCCCATTTGCCCATTTATTCACTGCAGTTGGATTTTGTTTCCTGTGCCCTGAAAAGCACACTTTTCGAATGGAAATGCTGCTGGAAGAACGGGGGTGGCTGTGAGCTCCACGATCGCGGCCCATCACCCCCCATTGCCCTCCTAGTGAAATCCCATCCATCAGGAGCAGAGAGCGACAAGCCCTCTAACTACTTCCCAAGGCACTGCCCTGTGTTGTTCCTTCTGTACCGAGACAGCAAATCGTTAGCTGGAGCTCCCAGGTTGTTTCTTGCAGCAATTAACAGCTGCCCTGGTGTTAATTCCCTATCAATAGCCCCAAGATGCTGCTGCTCTTACAGCTGTCGGGCTGACAGCCTCTACAGCACATTTTGAAAGTAACTTGCCAGTGGTGGGACTCTCTTCTCCTTGGGCACACCCAAGAAAAGTCCTCACCAGGCTTCAGAAGGAGTACCAAGTGCCACTCACCCAGTGTGGGGGCCTAGGGCAGGGTGAGCAAGCAGGTGGCTCCACCCCCCTCTTCTGGTCAGGTGATAACTTGGGGAGACAGTGGAACCGAGGCCCCGCACTGCCAGAGTAGCAGCTCCTCGAGATATTAATGAAGTTCTCATTTTTCAATTTTGGCTTGTTTGGAACTTTTTTCTGTTTGAGATGGCTATATATTTCTTCCATCTAAAACCCTCATACAAATCCATCTTCTTTTTTTTTTTTTTCTAACTCAAATTGCCAGTTTCTCATTTCTTGCCTGTGTTGCTCCCTCCAGCTCCCTGTGGACAGAACGAGACCCGAGAGGATGGTAAAATAATCCAGCTGCCTCCCTGCAAGACAGGAGCTTGGATCGTGCCGGCCATCATGGCCTGCTACCTCTTAGTGGCAAACATCTTGCTGGTCAACCTCCTCATTGCTGTCTTTAAGTAAGTGGATCCTTCGGAGCACATGGGACGGACGAGGACAGCAGGGGTGAAGGGGAGTCGCTGCTTCAGAAAACAGTGGACTTTTCTCACTTGATTATCTTTGGTCTCTATTTTAGCAACACATTTTTTGAAGTAAAATCGATATCCAACCAAGTGTGGAAGTTTCAGAGGTATCAGCTCATCATGACTTTCCATGAAAGACCGGTTCTGCCCCCACCCCTGATCATCTTCAGCCACATGACCATGATATTCCAGCACCTGTGCTGCCGATGGCGGAAACACGAGAGCGACCCGGATGAAAGGGACTACGGCCTGAGTAAGCTTCAAGCGACAGCCCAGCCGCCACATTTCAGAAATCCCTACCACTTCCTATAGGCAATCATGCAGGATCACATGGCCACCTAGTTCCTCCCGTCTCCTGCAGGTTGCGGACAGCTCTGAAAACTTGGAGAGGACTGGGGGATAAGGGAATTGGCTTGAATGAGAAATAATGTCAGAAAGAAGATGGTAGAGGCTGAAATTGAGCACTCTTAGCCTCATGTCTTTCTTAGAGAGATACAATCAGTCTCCAACAGGGCTGTTTTAGCACCTTCATAAGTTCTAAGTTTCTTGCTTTCCGGAGATCTCAACCCAAAATACATCAACCATATTAATATGCCACCCAAGGCCACATTATATATAATTTAAGCAATAATTTCTGGACCTATAATTTTTTTCTGATCTTAAACATTTTCCTAAACCTTAGGGGTTGTGCCTAGATCGCCTCATGAGAAGACCAGCCCTACTTTCTGTTACTCAGAGGACAAAACAGAAGACCCTTCACCATCCACCTTCCAGCCCAGTGTTCCTAAAGGGAGGTTCTATTAGCATTGAGGTGGAACAATTCCTTGTTGTGTAGGATTGTGCCGCACATTGCAGGAAGTTTGGCATATCCAGCCTCCACACATTAAATACTAGTGACTCCCGCAGATTTCCTAAATACCCCTTGGGTATCACGCTCCATTAAGAACCACTGGGAATCCAGTCCCACACCAGCAAGCTCCTACAATTTCTCAAAGTATGTCAAACAGGCCACCTATATCAAATCTACTGAACAAGAGCCTCTGGGATTATAGCCCAGGAGTCTACCTCTCTCTCTATGGTCACCAGTATATCTAAGGTTTGAAACCAAAACAATTTGGTCAACAGCTTCTCTAAATCTGAAGCTCTTAAAACCCTCCCTGACCTTGCAATGCCCAACTTCTTTTTAGACATTAAAATTAGAGAGACCTGGGAATTCCAGAATTCACTGTTTTCATCTGAAACACAAATTTAAGCAAAGAGAAAAGTTGGAGGGGTCGGGGTGGATGACCTGTGAAATAAACCCTAAGCTTCTCAACTCAGGAACTCTAGCCAATGGGGAGGAGCATGAGATACAAAATCAGGGGCAGCGGGATGCTCTAATGAATGATAGCCTACCGTGGATAGACATGCTGAGGGCTAGCTCAGAGTCCCAAAATAATTTACAATAAAGCATGATTCATTTGTGGTAGAAGAGGAACCTCACTTACCCAGAGAGCTTAGGAAGAGGGTGTTTGTAAATACCATGCAGGAAGTAGGACGGTCCAGAGATCCATTTCCTTTCTGGTGCTCACACCCTCACAGAAGGCCAGAGAACCTGAACAAGCCAGACATGGGGCTAGGTGGGAGTCAGCTCCATGCAGCTGCTGTTCAGGGTTTTGTTGTTGTTATGACCAATGGTAGCAATAAAAGCATTGCCAGGTCACTGGATGCTCAGAAGGGAAGAGCAGCCATGTCCGCTTTCTCAGAGAAGAAAGATTTTAGTGCTGTGGCTGGGTCGGAAAGGGTGAAAGTCAGAGACTGCATTGTATGAATCAGTTGGGGAAAGTGAACTTTTCACTATCCATCTGTAGCCTTAATTAAAAGAACCCAGGGCACTGCCAAGTTCTGGCAGAGTCTCAGACAAAAACACTCTGAAATGTAAAATTTAATTTTTATTGTTAAAAGTTGACATATTGATGGAGTTTTAAAAAAATAGTATTTCATTTTTGTTAAAAAGGCATTACACATAGCCAAAGAAGTTAAATGAAGTGCCAGCAGAATAAGTGTTAAATATACTCCTTTGAGTCTCAAACATAGCAATAGCAATCGTCTGAGCTTTGAGGGCCTCTCTAACTGCCTTTTTTCATTCCCCTCCCTCCAGGCTAATGCTCTGTGTAATTTCATGAGTGAATCTCAAGTGTCCCCTGTGATACAGGTCTTCCTCACCTCAGGAAGCCTCCCATATTTGACAAGAGCAGTCTGATTTCTGGTATTTTCTTTTCTCTCGCCTGCTTTTACATTCATACTTTCCATGCCCCAAGCAAATTCAGGCTAATGTCTCAAAGCAAGCAAGAGGCACCTCAGCAAACTAAATCCCTGAGGGTCCAAACTCCAGGGCTCCAAATATTTGGAACAATCCCTATCACATCTCGAGGGCATGGGATTAGAAGAGCAACTTGTCCCATTTAAGAATTGGCAAAGCAGTTCTCTCCTCCAACCCTGATTCATAAACCACTTAAAGGTTCAGTTTTCCACTGGGCTCTTTCTACTGCTATATCAGTTGTGAATCCATTTACCTTCTATTGACAGAAACCAGGTTAACAATAACGCAAATAAATAAGGTTTTCTTTTTCTCACTTAACAAAAAGTGAAAAGTCCAGAGCTCAACGATGGCTCATTGAAGTCAAAGATCCAGAGTCCTGCTATTTTTAGGCTCAGCTATTCCTTTTGTGCTTTCTTGTTTCATGGCCACAAAATAGCTGCCTCACCTCCAGTCATCACATTCATGTTCCAGGCAGGAAAAAGAGGAGAAGGTAAAAAACTGTAGAAAGAAGCGACCACATCTCTATATTTTATCAGGAAAATAAAATCTCTTCCCAAGACACCCCTCCTCCCTGCAGCAGACTTCTTTTGTTTCTTGGCCCAAACTGGGTCCTTGTGGTTGCTGCTAGCTTCAAGGGAAACTAGAAATGTTTGTGTTGGGTTTCTAAGCTCAGTAGCAGGAAAGGGGAAAAGGAGAATGTGGTTGCAAAAGGGCTTTTAGTAAGGCCAATCAACAATGTCTCTCTACCACACCCCCAGCCCAGAAGTTTTTGAGCTTTTAAGATACTCTATGCTCTGAATAGCTTCCCTTTCCTTGATTTAGCTTTTTCCCTGGCCTCGCAACTTGCCTAATTCTACCCAGCTCCTGCAGCAAACCAGATATGCCCAGACGAACTTCAGAGACCCATAATAAATTTCATGTTCAGAAAGACGATGGTGATGCAAGTTGCCTAATTGGATTTGGATTTCATTTGAGACCTAGCAAGGAATCTAGGCCCCTTTTCCCACCTGGATTTATACTGGGAATGTCACTAGTCCCACAAATCAGATGCCATCGCTTTTACTTCTCTCCCTCATGGCTTCCTTTTTTTTTTTTTTCAGAACTCTTCATAACCGATGATGAGCTCAAGAAAGTACATGACTTTGAAGAGCAGTGCATAGAAGAATACTTCAGAGAAAAGGACGATCGGTTCAACTCGTCTAATGATGAGAGGATACGGGTGACTTCAGAAAGGTGTGTTCTGTGGACACATGCCTCCCGCAGATGTGTTGTGCCAAGGCATGCTTTATCCACTGAATTTATTCACACAGTCACAAAACAGACCTTTTGTGTTTGTTGTTATTGTCTGAGAAATCATGGAGCTTATGAGAACAGAACATTGCCCCAAGTGTCTATAGATCAAAATCTCAGCCTTACAGATCCTAGACTTCTCTAGCAGGCAGTAGCAGCTGTCCTCCCAGACAGAAGAGAATTTTGAGTACAGGACAGGCCTGAGGTTGCTGGCTCAGAGCAGACACTGGAAAGTTCTGACCCAGACAAAAACCAAATGAGACTCAACCTGACTCTGGGCTCTCCATTAATTTATGTTTTGTGTAGACTATTGAATGTCTTTTTCAAAGGAGTTCAACAGCCCTAGTGCCTGCCTTATATGGATGCCCAATACCTTCTGAATAAATGACAGTAAGAGAGTTGTAAATTAGCTAAAATAATAATTGGATTTTTCCCCAGAATTGTTTTGTTTTTTCTTTTTATAGAACAAGATGAAAGCAAAAAAATAAATAAATAAAAGCAGATTTTTCTACCAAGTGATTATATACATTTAGATCTCAGTGGACAAATAGTATAGCCAGCAGGGCTATAAGAAAATCTTCAGTCTAAAGGATACACCTCAGGGTATTAAAAAGAGAGACAGCAAGATCTTCAAATAAAGAGAATTATTTAAACCTAATAAGTCTAGCTTTATGAAAATACACTTACATTTTCTTATTTTTCTTATTTTGCTGTAGACTAATAAAAACTTCCTTCCAGGCTGGCACATGCAAAACCTAGCATTTGGGAACCACTATTCCGAAGAACACCCAGAATATTACAAAACATAGGTGTAACTTTACATTTTAAGCATTTGCAATATAAAGATGGCAGAAGCAAATTAGAAATAGTATGGAAAGGCCTAACATACTGACAACTTTATTCAGTATGACTCAGGCTTTTAAGATTCAAAGCAGTCACCTCAAGTTTTTATGAAATGACATTTTGTCTGCTCATCCACTTCAGGCTTCTCTAGTGGCTCTGTAGGAATTACATAAATGGTATATTTTGTCCCTGGCCCTTTATTTCTTTGAAGAATTCAGTCTATATAAGTAGGTATATACACATATGCCACTGAGTGATAGTATCCATCGGTACTCAGCCAATACTAATAAAGTCTAAAGCCATGCACAGATTTTATACACATCTGTTGCTGCAAAATAGACCATTTTATGATGATATAATGTAAAGCAATTTTCTGGCAAACGGAAGAAGAAACTAAAATCTGAAGATATTTCTCATTCTGAGGCCTTGAGAAAGCTATTTATTAATGGACATATAACCATGTGGTCCCCAGAAATTGTTCTATGTGGACACATTACCCATTGCTCAGACATGTTTACAAAGCATTTGTCTACAGGCCTTTGAAATGCTTTTTAAATTCAGAAAAGCCGTAGACCTGGGGCGAAAGAGGGTAGGGAAAAAAGAGTGTTAAGATGCAAGGAAGCCTTCGCCTCCCTGAGGAACAAGAACAAGGAGGTGCAGGCACCAGCGCATGTGAATAAATTGTGACCATTTCGCTAATTCTTTCTGAAAAGAAACAGAAAGAAACTACAGTATATCCACTTGAGCCTCTGGCCCCATGCCTGCAAACCCTTTAAGAATACTCCTTCCCCAGGGCCCTGTACCTTTCTGGGTGATTACAGAGCTCCATCCTCAAAGAGGATGGCCAAGGTGAGCAATTCTCAGACGTCCAGGACAGAATGTAGACCCACCTTCCCTGTGTCCTAGGCATTAGGCTGACCTTCTGGAGTAACAGGGGCCTGAAAGACCAAGATGACCTCAAGACCAAGCCCAGGGCCAGAGAAACAAACCTAAGCCAGGCTTCATTCTGCTGCTTCTGTTTGTGTGGGTTTTGGAATTTTAATGCTGTTGTTATCATTGTTATTGTTGGGTTTTTTTTTTTTGCATTTGTAAGTGAGCCAAAAAATAATGTCTCTCAACACTGAAATTGCACTCAGCAAAACAGAAACACCATGGGGTGCGCAATGGAACAGAGACTAACCAAGGGAAGAGTAGATCCATATTACCAATCTCAAACATCTTCTAGAACATGTCCATTCTGAATGGAGTGGCAGGTGAAATCACCTGTCCTATTTACATTTGGTTGAGCGAGAGAAAGATAGGGAGAGAGACATATACACATATGTATATATATGTATGTATATACACACATTTGGAAAGGTACATATGGTTAAATTTACCTAAATTAGCTGTGTATATTCTATACAGTATGTAGAATATAATTTTACATTCACATTAGATAACCCCAGTAACAGAGATTTGAAATCAACAACATTAAGAGCTGCCTCTTTGTCCTACTAAAGGACAAGGAGTTTCTTTCCAGAGTGAGCTTCATACTCCTCCTCCTACCACTACCCTTAAAACACAAGTTATTTATACAGGTTGTATTTGCATGAATCTTCTTAGAAATATGAAGATACTCCCATAATTATCCATTTAAATGGATCATTATTCAATCACACTTTTGCATCACAGTGGCATGTAAAGAGCTAAATACAATATTCAGGATATCATTAACACCTCATAGGAACTTGATTCTGAAAAATCCTTGTCTTTCCTCTTTTTTATATAGCAATGACCCTGATGCATCTAGAGCAATACAATTCTAGAATATAATGCGCCAGTAGAGTAACCAATGCCCTCTGCTTTACTTGGGACAATATCTAACTAATGATAATTATACTCAAATAACCAAGCTTTTCATCTATTAGGCAACATTGGTGACTAGGTTCCCGCCCCCCCCTCCCGATGAGGCGTTGTGGACTCTTGGCTGAAGATAACCAATTCTTGATGCCTGTTCCATCAAATGCTGTGCTCACTATCCTTTTATGAGTTCAATTCTGTTTCAACATGTGAATACTGGGCTTTCACCATTGCCAGGCAGTAAGCCACACACTAAGGATCCACAAGGCAGGCCTCCGTCCTCAGGAAACATGTAACCTCATTGAGTTCTTGTGTGCATCCCAGCAGGGATGACCAGACACATCCAACCCAGTGGTTCTCAATCTTTAACAGGTCTCAAAATCATCTGGAGGGCTTGTTATAACACAGGTTGCTGGGTAGCCCCCCTTCCTATCCCTAAAGTTTCTGATTCACTAGATCTGGAGTAAGGCCTGAAAATTGCACTTCTAAAATGTTTCCAGATGATACTGATGTTATTGTTGACCCTGCTTGTCTGGGAACCATACTTTGAGAACCACTGATGAAAACCAATGGACAGCTATAAGTCCAAACTTGGGAGAGGATGGTGCTGAATTATTCACTGTGGAGCATATAAAATTCTGGCGTCGTACATTTGGAAAATGTTCTGGAAGTCACTGAGTACAGATTGCTTGTACCCAAAGCAGTTTTTTCCTCCACACACCTGACCAATGGCAACTTAACAAACATGTTTTGAGCAACTGGCATGAGCGAGGCCTGAGTAGGAGGAAGGGATATAGGAACTCTACTTTGAAAGAATGCACTGTCTAGTTACACCCAACCTTGATTTGAACACCTCCTGGAAAGGAGAAGAAACTGCCTATGCTACCAGTCTTAGGAATGAATACAGGAAAAGACTTTTCTCTCTGAAAGTTAAGGCCGGGTGCAGTGGTTCATGCCTGTAACCCCAGCACTTTGGGAGGCTGAGGTGGGCAGATTACCTGAGTTCAGGCGTTCGAGACCAGCCTGGCCACCATGGTGAAACCCCATCTCTACTAAAAATACAAAAATTAGCCAGGCGTGGTGGCAGGCACCTGTAATCCCAGCTGCTTGTGGGAGCTAAGGCAGGAAAATTGCTTGAACCCGGGAGGTGGAGGCTGCAGTGAGCAGAGATCGTACCACTGCACTCCAGCCTGGACAACAGAGCGAGACACCGCCTCGAAAGAAAGAGAAAGAGAGAGAGAGAGAGAGAGAAAGAGAGAGAGAAAGAGAAAGAGAAAGAGAGAGAGAAAGAGAGAGAGAGAAAGAGAAAGAGAGAGAGAGAAAGAAAGAAGGGAGGGAGGAAGGAAGGAAGGAAGGAAGGAAGGAAAAATTCTTTTCTCTCTGAAATAATGTTTTGCATATGTGAAGATCATTGTCATCTCCCACTGTGCTGTGTCTTTTCCAAAGTAGATATCCCAAGATCATTTAATTACTTATCCTGCTTTCCAGCAGATCATCTACTACCCTGCTCACTCTCTCAAGTATGCACTTTAAATTGTCAACATCCTTTAAATGTGGTGCCGAAGTTAAACTCAATTCCCTGTGTTGTAGTTAGAACCTAGATTTAATTCCTTTATTCATTTACTTTTTTTGAGCACCTACCATGTACTGGACTAGTACATATAGAGTTCTCTCCATGGTATAATGGAAAGAACACAGTACAATGTGCATAATATAGTATAACAACATTTTAATACTAATTCTGCAATAACTAGCTGTGTGACCTTAAGCAGCTTACTTAACTCCTCTTAACCTATGTTCACATTCATAAAATGGAGTATTAAGACCTAACTATAGAGTATTAAAAGTTATTAAGATGCATATATAAGGTATTATGCTTTCAATAAATTGTGATTATTATTATTTTTGGACCTACACATTAGGTGTGCTATAAGATTATATTACTATTCTTAACAACCAAGTCACATCTTTGGTTCAGAGTACACTTTCAATGAATTAAACCAGGGCTTTTTTTTACATGAGCTGATTCAATATACTCAAACTTCTTCTTGTGAAATGTCTGTTTTAACCTAGAATCAAGACTTAATATTCATTAGCATAAAATTTTTCTTTATTTTTTTCCCTTTAGCTCATTATTTCAGCACCTCAAGTAATTTTGGATCCTGATTTTTTCATCTAGTATATTAATTTTTCATCCTATGCACTTTAGGCCATCATTTGTTTGATAACCACACTTACTATATCTTTGACATAGCTCA